GTGACGGAAACTCTTCCCTGTCCGTCGATCAACGTGGTGCGCTTCATAAATTGTTGTTGACGTTTTCGGATGTATTTAGCTCCGATGATTTGGATTTGGGGCGCACCTCGTTGTTTCACCATCATATTGATACAGGCAACGCTGCCCCTATTCGGTTGAATTCGCACCGAATGAGTCCCGCCGAGCGAGACCACGTTCGGGGGGCGGTGGAGGACATGTTGGCTGCGGACATTATATCGCCATCTAACAGCCCTTGGGGTGCGCCTGTGGTTTTGGTCAAGAAAAAGGATGGCACATTGCGATTGTGTTGATTTTCGCAAATTGAATAAGATTTCAGTGGCAGATGCGTATCCCCTGCCGCGTATGGACGACTCCCTCGATGCATTGTCGGGGGCCAAGTTTTTTTCCACACTGGACCTCTCTTCGGGATTTTGGCAGCTTCCCCTTGACGAGCCCTCGCGGGAGAAAACCGCATTCCGTACGCCACAGGGGTTGTTTCAATTCAACTGCCTTCCGATGGGGCTGAATGCGGCCCCTGCCACATTTCAAAGGCTTATGGAGCTCGTGTTGACGGGCTTGCAGTGGGAGACATGTCTCATATATTTGGATGATATTATTGTCTTCAGCCGCACATTTGACGAACATTTAAGGCGGCTGGAGACGGTGTTCACGAGGATGCGCTCCGCCAATTTGAAATTCAAACCAAAGAAATGTCACCTACTGCAACGGTCCGTCCGTTATTTGGGACACATCGTGAGTGCTGAGGGGGTGTCCACGGACCCGGAAAAAACGGCGTGCGTCCGGGATTGGCCTACTCCGGCCACCGTGGGGGATGTACGTCGATTTTTGGGATTTGCCTCATATTATCGGAGGTTTGTGCCGAATTTTGCGACGATCGCGAGGCCCTTGCACCTCCTTACGGGTAAGGGACGTAAGTTTGCGTGGGGACCGCCGGAGGAAGCGGCCTTTCAGAGTCTGCGCGATCTGTTGGCTACGGCCCCAACATTGGATTATCCCGATTTCGATCGCCCATTCATTCTTGATACGGACGCGAGTGACACAGGTATTGGCGCGGTATTATCCCAGTCTAGAGGGGGCGTAGAGCGTGTCGTGGCGTATGGTAGCCGGGTCTTGTCTCCCGCGGAAACCCGCTACTGTGTCACTCGCAGGGAACTCCTAGCCGTTGTTTTTTTCCTACGTCAGTTTCGACCGTACCTGTACGGCCGTTCCTTTATTGTACGTACGGATCATGCGGCCTTGCAATATGCCCTTAAAATGGATCAACCTTCCGGCCAGCTGGCGCGTTGGTTGGACACGCTACAGGAATTTTCATTTCAAATTCACCATCGTAAAGGGGTACGCCATGCGAACGCAGACGCACTTTCTAGATTACCGCAGCGCTCCCCTTGCAAATGTGCATCGGGGACGCAGAGATGTGTGCCCAGCCTACCCCCCCCTCAACCGGTGGTGTTGGCTGTTGAGGAGTCGGATGCTCCTGTGGAACCGGGGCCGACTGATGGGGTTTTGAATCTGCCACGGTCTGTTTGGATAAGGGAGCAGATGATGGATGAGTCGTTAGTGTCCTTGCGGAAGCGATCCAAAGTGGAGATTGGGGGTCCGGTTACGGAGGGTGCGCCGGAAACCGCGGTCCGAGATGGTCTGCTCATGTGGAGGGAAGGTCTCCAGGAACGCTGGCGTCTGGTAGTGCCTGCGTCCCTGCGATACGAGTTGATTAGAACTCTCCATTGTGACACGCTATTACATCTGGGTGTGCAGAAGACCTTGTTGACGTTGCAACGTCATTATTTTTGGCACGGCATGGCGACGGATGTCGTGGGGCACGTCCGCGCGTGCCCTGACTGCGCCCGACGTAAGCCACCTAAACATCCTTATGTGCCGCCTTTACAGTCAATTCAGGTGTCGCGGGTTAATGAATTGGTGGCACTGGATATTTTGGGACCTTTCCCACCATCGGCGAGGGGTAATAAATATTTGCTGGTTGGGGTTGAGTACCTCTCCCGTTGGCCGATGGCCTGGCCATTGCCCGACCAATCGGCCGCGGCCATTACCGATGCCTTTTTGTTCGGATACGTTATGGACAAGGGTGCACCGGAGAGACTCCTCACGGACCAGGGCCGAAATTTCTCGTCTAAATTATTGGCGGAAGTGTGTGCGGGCCTAGGGACTAGGAAGGTCCGGACATCCCCATACCATCCGCAAACGGATGGTATGGTTGAGCGGCTAAACCGGACATTGTCTGCCATGCTGTGCCATACGGTGAGTGAGCAACAATCGGATTGGGACCTGCACATCCCGGGGGTGCTTTCGGCGTACAGGATGACTCCTCATGCGGCTACGGGTTATTCGCCGTTTTACCTTATGTATGGTCGGGAAAACGTGCCGCCGATGGATGTGCAGATGGGAACCGGTGTAAGGGGACCTTGTAAACCACTCCCTGACTACATTCGGGACACTGTTCGCCGGGTCTCGGAGGCGCGGGAGAGTGCCCGCGTGGCTACGGCCAAAGCTCAAGCCCGGAATGAGAGGTATGCGCGGCATTCCAAGGGGGAATGCCCCTGGAAGGTTGGGGACCTGGCCTGGCTCCATTGCCCGCAGGTGCGGCCGGGTACCTCTCCCAAATTTCACAAACCTTGGCAAGGGCCCGTCCGCCTCATTGAGGTTCCTAACCCTCAGTCGGCGCGTGTTCAGTTTGGTTCTCGCCGTTGGGTTGTTCACACGTCGCGCTTGAAACCGTATGTTGCTCCCCTACATGATGCGTCATCTCCCAATGTTGCCTTGCCGGGGTCTGTTGCTGCCGACTCTCCCCCGCCTGCGTCTATTGATCTTGCTAGAGCGCCTGTCATACCTGTTCCAGGCAGGCCGGCCTTGACACCGCAGGGGACGAGGCGCCCTGCTCGGAGGGTGCCTGCCAGATCTGCGGAAACTTCGAGCCCTGCAGCCCTTCCGACCCCGCTGCAGACACATCCGCGGGACACGCCCGAGACTGATCCTTCAGGGACACGGGACGTTGGTGGACTTCCAACAGCGACAGGGGGATTTCACCCTGTCACTCCTCAAACTCCATCACGTTCCCGTTCCGCGGGTGGGCCGCCGACCGTCCGGGACGGGCCGGCGACCCGCACACGTTCTAAATCCCTTGTGTTTCGTTGATTGTTACGTTGCATTATTCCTCTTACTGTGTATTTATTGCCTGCTTCTGCTACGTTACTTTATTAGTATGTTGTGTTGATTGTTCTTACTGTTATATTGCATGCTTGGTGTCCCTTGGTGTGTCAGGGTCGGTTTCGCCCGCATTACTGTTGGTGTTGTTCAGCCGAGGTCGGCTGGGTTTTTCTCCACGGGGGAGGGTGGTGTAATGCGGGCGCGGGCGACCTCCCGGATGTGACGTCACGGAGAGGTGGAGTTAGGTGACGTGGGAGCAAGGTTAAGGTTCTTAAGGGATGAGACCGGAAGAGGAGGGGGGAGAGTGAGAGACTGGACAAGAGTAAGGCCACGTTGGGCGAAGCCAGGAAGAGTGGCACGGGCGGCCAGCGGTGGCCAGCTAAGGGAGCAGCCAGCGGAGCTGCGAGAGAAGACAGCAGTGGGGCTGCTGGAGAGAAGGCGGTTGAGGAGCTGCAGTTAACACAGCCGGCGAGGCTGTGTGTGGGAGAGGCTACGAGAGCGACGAGAGGAGAGAGAGGCTACGAGAGCGACGAGAGGAGAAACTGCAGCGAGAGCAGCCAGTGGGGGGGCTGCGTGAGGGTAACAGCCAGCAAGGCTACGAGAACAACGGGAGACCAACAGAGGAGCTGTTGGCGTGACGGGGTTAACAGCAGTATCAGTATCGGTATGGAAGCCTTATAGAAGGACAGCCGTGTGGGTTACGAGGAAGAACCGAATAAAGGACACCAAGCCAGACTTCGTGGTCGAGTCCTTTATTACAAATGCACAACATTTACAATTTGAGTACGACGTTTCGCTGGCAATTACATCCAGCATCATCCGGCAAATTACTCTCTTTATGAGGCTGATTCTAATCACCAGAGAAACGCCGCACTCAAATTGTAAATGTTGTGGGTTTACTCTCCAACACACGAAGTAGTAACTAATTTGCACATTTTGTTTAGTAACAAACCTTACTAACCGGCCGTGTTCGGTGGTAGTGGGTTAACGACACATTTATATTTACGCGATCTAACCCCATACAAAACATTTATTACGAGCTGTAATACATTACTGAATTCCAGAACCATTGTCCAAAAAAAGTCAATTACAGTACGTGAAGCAACGCAATAAGAAAAACTAACGCTCATGTTGTTGCATATCTTCTCTGTAAAACAAAAAACACTAGCCCTTAGTGTTGATAAAGATCCTCGTTGGTTATACGATAGCTCACTATTGAAGCAATTATTTAAAAGCAGATGACGAGATAATGGTTTTATATTTAAATGAAGGGACAGGCCTATACTGTATATATAACGAGCAGTAGATAAAGTCCCCAGGTTCTGATGCGCGCTGGTCTCATCGTAACAAATAACGGGAGCAGTGTTGCTAAACAGAGATAGAGGTCAGTGGTACAATATCTAGCTTTCATGAATGATACACCAGTGTAAAGGTGAATATCTCTCACTGATGCTGCGCAACCCCTTTTCTTGTTGATGTTACATGTCATCATGCTCACATTACAATGTCCCTCCATTCAGAGCACACATCTTTGTACTTCACTTAAAAGTTCAGCATTGAACAGAATACATAAGAAAAGATGTAGCACATGTGACACAATTAGGTAGGCATTAGATGTGTGGTAGATATTACTCTCGCACGTTTAATATGATCACAGACACATTTGGGACATTTTTACATTCCGATGGCTGTACATTGGGGCAACTTTAGGTGTTCTATGGACACGTGTAGATCATGCCAAGGCCTATACCATGTTGTTGCCCTTCGCGTAATACCGTTGATTTTGTACATATGCAAGAAACCAGGCCATACTTTACCTCTGCAATAGGCAAGATGGCAAAAATGTCTTTCTGAGTCACTGTGAGCTCAGTTGTGACATAGACTTGTCCCGTTGTCACGGACTTGTCAACGTAGTCCACCTGCCAGAGGATTCGGCGTGTGGCGGATAGGCTGCTCACACTACTGATCTCAAACATCAGCTGTGCAATCTCCTCTGCTCCCGTGCTGCACAAACATAGGAAATGAAGATAGGTCAAACATTACACAAATGCTCCCGAGTTGAAATTTACCCGGCATTCAAATATCACACCTGTACCATTTGTTTGCCGATTTGGCTTAACCCAACAGCGAGTGGCTTTGAGATTATGTAATTTCAGCTGACAATTAAGATTTGTAATGCGTAAAGAAATATTTTCACAAAAAATACTCGAATGCCCCTTCTCCCCCTCCCACAAATGTTTATGGCACAGTACACAGAGCAGCATGTATATTTTGCGGATTAAAACTTCCAGTAAATTCAAAGTAACACAGCAGTAATAATTTCATGGGAGTCATTGACAGTTGGATGTTTTCATGCCAGTGTGCTTTGAACCACTTTCGCCCCCCCCCCCACCGCATCCACAATGTCACTGTGCATTGCAAACAAATCGATATCAATCACACCCAAATGCTCAGTCTTTTTCTGAAACCCATCAAATCTCACGCGAAAAAAAAAAACGGTGGCGTGCAAATGTGAAACGTTGGAAATGTACCTGTTGGTTTCCGTCGGGCTCCCTCTCTTGTGGAGCTGAATCCTGATCGTCGTGTGTTTGTTTCCCCCATCGTCGTCCATAGCTGCATCCCAGACACCAGGGTTGCTCGATTCAACCGCTTGCAGGGTCATCCCTTTCTTCCCTTTCACTCTGCAAGGCATACAACAAGTAATCTTGATTTTTTTTTTATCTGCCACATTTGAAGCAATCAAAATCTGTCTCCCACATTTTAATCAACGTGTATCATGGCCAGTAACAAGTTTTTGGCATTGGCTTTGAGACATATGGTTTTGAAAATTCACTCTTTCTTTATTTCCTTCAGCGAAGCCATTCTACCGTACTCCATGAGTGTTTCTGCTTTGAACACGATAAAAGGGTGTCGTATTTTCTCCAATGTTTACCCCTTTAGCCATGTGTGTTGAACACTATTTTTACGTGGACTCAAGCATACAACGATTGATGTAACGTACACAATAACACAGGCCTTTAAAAGTGTGTATGATACGCAGATTGAAGTTTTAATCGCCATTAACCTGCAATCGGATGTAATGCTGAGCAGCTTGTGCCAATATTTTACAACTCATGTTTGCACATTGCAGAGCATAAATCCAGTAATGTGTTCCATGGACCACGTTTAACATTTTTCCTATTCCGAAGGAAATATTGTTTTTGCACAAATTCCATTTCATTTACTGCAGATTGATGTCACCGTTTCAGGGCTGACATGCCAGAATAAATGATACATTTCAAACATTTCTGCAATAACCGTGAAGGAGAATGGACTGATATTCACATTGGGAAATACACAGTATTCAGCGATTATTTATTCAATTGTGCATTGCCGCTTTGTTTTTCTATTTGAACGTTTTGTTTAAATGTAGAATTGTTGATTAGAGCTAACATATACTCGTACAATGCTCATTGTAACTTTCCTATTAAGACTGAAACACACAAAAACCACAACTCTTACTGCAAATTGTTTTTAAATAACACAGAATTATAAAAAAGATAAATACAGATCCTATTGACTTTTGGTGAAATGGAAATTGGCATGAAATGAGACCAGTTAATGTAATTTGACAGCACAAATGACATGACAGTGAAATGGCGAATGTAAACAACGGTGTCCAAATGTGTAGTATTGACATTTACTCGGTATGCCGAGCCCTGCAGAAAGGGCTGAATGAAAGCACCACAATGCATGACAAACTACTGTCAATTACCATTACCGTTTATCCCCCAGTGAAATATATACAATATTCTACATATACATCTTATAATTTCTTGATTTGAAGCTTTCGTGACTGCAAGGATTCATATTCTTAGGGTTTTTCGGTAAAGTCACGTAGGTAAAAAATTTAAATTAATAAAAGTAAAATTAAAATTAAATAAAAATCACGACGTTTCGGAGACAACACAAATTATAATATCTAGGGCCTACATTGGCTCCTCCCACCGTCAACCAGTATATATACAAGGACTATTTTCTTGGAATTTCTCTTACTTGATACAGCTACCGTGCTGTGACGGTTCCACCTGAAGACGGAAGCTTGTGTTGCCTCCGAAACGTCGTGATTTTCATTTTATTTTAATTTTACTTTTATTAATTTAAAATTTTAACCTACGTGACTTTACCGAAAAAACCTAAGAATATCTTACAATTCGTTTTACAATTGCTTGCAAATGTTAGTTATTTGTTTCTTAATAAGGAAAGAACCACCATATGTGCATACTTTTAAATGTATTGTGAATGTCCTGCACTCTGCTCACGACCTTCACCAACACTCGCTGTGCTTTGTCTGTGTGTGCAATACGAATGTATGTGACATAGAATGCACACACATGTCTGTGCCTGCTGCATGAGTAAACATTTGTAATGTCCAACGATGTTTTTTTTAAAATCATATACACTGAGAATATAAACTTTTCCATGATCATTCGTACAACTCAACCCTGTGGATCATTATAACAGCACGCATGTGTATAGCCCCTTTTTTCATGCTAGATGAAGACTTTCTCAAAAGTCATTGGGGGTTATATGACCATACTTCACCACACTGGACAGTGTGGGTTGGGAGCATAATACAATTGCAATTGTGAATTTTGCTGAGCTACTATCTGCTGACAACATAGTCCCACGGCAGCCTGTGGCACCTCTTGAGCATGGCGGTCACCAATTCGAGCTCATCGTTGCCAGGTTGTCAAACAAAAACACAACAATGCAGATTAGCAGCTGAAGAGCTGGCTTGACTGGCTCAACCACAGTATTGTCGAAAAACGCAGACAAAGTCTTGATTGATTCGTCTCAGCATAAAAAAAAACCCGTTAGAGATCGCAGATATATTTTGATGCTGTGAATTGCACTGCATGCCAATTTTACAACTCCTACTGTTAATACACACAGCATGAAAATAAACGCGATAAATACATGCACATGAAATAAATCTACTGGGCTACTTCGCGCACTCCAAAATATCACCATGTGCTTACGTAAAAAAAAACTATACTTGTTTTTTTTCGTTTCAATAAAATATCAAAACTTTTCCTGCCATTTATGATATTAGTTTATAAACAAGGCAGCAGGAGTTCTCATCAACTAAAAGAAGTCATCGATTTAAAACACACATGTCAGTCCAGCACAATATTGCATTTCAAATTGGGGAAATGCATATATCTGTACCTATACGTATTTTGTTCAACAATGACATTTGTGTACAATGCCTTGTGCAACTGTAGTGCCATCGGGGAAGTCACTGTATGGTGCCGGCCCAGAAGGGTCGTGCCGTTCGATGTTCCTACATCGTGGACAGCACCGTGTGGGTGGCTGTGTGTAATACCAGCCCCAGCGGGGCTTGGCAAGAACTGGGATAGTGCGGGCACCACGCACAGCGTGTGGTGGGGGCTCCCCCGAGGGGGAGGGGGTGAGTGTCAGCCCAGGGGCAGGGTTGCCCCGGGCCGTGGCACTCTGGTTGACCCCGTAGACACGTGATCTGGAATGTCCACACAAAGAAGGTCCCAGGTGGGGGGACTAGTGGGTGATCACGTGTCCGGGGAGAGCTCTTGAGAAGGATCGAGAGGGAACGAGAATGCTCGAGAAGGTGGGCGGGGCCGAGGGCGGAGCCACCCTGACCGGAGAGGGATATAAGGCGGGTCCCTGAGAGGGACCGGGGTCGCTGCATTCTACAAGCGGGAAGCTCAACATCTACAAGCGGGAAGCTCAACATCTACAAGCGGGAAGCTCAACATCTACAAGCGGGAAGCTCTACACCTACAAGCTGGAAGCTCCACGTCTACAAGCTGGAAGCTCAACATCTACAAGCGGGAAGCATACACCTACAAGCTGGAAGCTCTACATCTACAAGCTGGAAGCTCAACATCTACAAGCGGGAAGCTCTACATCTACAAGCGGGAAGCACTACATCTACAAGCTGAAGCTCTTCGTCCTACGAGGCAACCGGAGACCCGAGTGAGTGTCCGACCCTTCGTAGCAGTAACTCCTCTGTATAGGGTAGTTAGCTGGGTGGTCCCCACCCTAAGCTGTATCTGGTAAAGGGGCAGTTACCCCTTTGTGTCACGGTGTTACAATAAATGTGTTGCCTCTAAAAGGACCAACGTCTGCGACTCAGTTGGACTCATTACACATAAACAAAATCCTTATTGATGGCTTCACAAGAATAAGGCATATTTGTTAATATAGCAACCAACAAAATCCATTGTTGCTCTGAACTCCTCGCACTTTTATCAACCCAATTTGACGGGCATGGTGAAGTATGGTCAAATAACCCCTCTCTGCCTGCACGACATAGAGAAGCATAGGGAGGCCCACATCCAGGAGTGGATTAACACGTGGGCCGAACATGTTCAAGAATTAACATTAAAACCACCAGACTCTGGTAATCTAGTTTATCATTCGTGGACATTCATATCTGCCTTAAAAGTCCTCTATATTGGCACACAACCACAGTACACTGAAAGGCGGTAGCAGCCATGAAGGAACTATAATATGGCGGGATGAGTGTCTCAACAACCTACCCTTAGCAGCACTGGTTTGAAGACATGAACAGCCATACTTGGAAGTCAACTGCGCACAGAGGCTGTCCAATTATATTTTAAGAGTTATAAAACACACACACACATATATATATAAAAATAAGCTATGTACAGCACAGTGCATCACAAAGACGATGGGAGTTTAATTTATGCCATTTGAAACTGTTGATTGAAGACAAAAACATCCTTAGCGAAATATGCTTATGGAGGGAAATGCACTCAAGCGCACAAACCATCCTTGCTGGCACGGGCGATGGAAGGGAGTGTTTAATGGTGGCCCCATAGGAATAGACATGCGAATGTAGATGGTAATGCTGTGTAACAATGCTTTCAAATATATTCTCTCAGAAGTCCGTGTTGAGAATAAAAGTTCCATATAACAAGTCAAATATTCACGCTGTATACGGCATTGTTGCCGTTGCAATTTCTTAGTTATGTTTTAATGAATACCCTTTCAGAACACGCTTTGCAACTTTCTTGGGAAATACCATTTCGTTTCAGCAAAGCACAACTATGTATTTATAAATAGCTTACATCGAACATACATGACCAAGCAAATACTGTATTTAAAAAGGAAGCAGGGCAGTTCGAAAATACACATTGATTTTCATTTCTTCAAAGTAGGAATGCGCCCAAATTCACCTTTTGCGTTGTACACAGATTTATCTACATTTATAACCGTTATCTGCAGGTCAGGAGAGGCCAGCTGGACAGCACCTTTGTCATTTAGATAGAAAGCTCACTGCTCTGCATAATTTAAACAAAACACATTTTACATTCAGACGGTTTTGCATATATTATATATTAGCAGTCCACTCAAAGACAATTTATGTATATTTTATAATTGGGTAACAAGGTGCAGAAGGAATGTCCAACAATAAAATATGTATATCAGTCACGTTTTAGCCATGTCCTGTGGAACGAACTCACTGGACATAAAAGGGAAATGAAAAGGCAATCTAAATGTCTTGCTGTCGAGATTAAACACTTTTCGTAACAGAAATGCCAAACATGCTTTCTCAGGATAGTCAAATTATATTGCATTCCTGATATGAAAGTGGGCTGCAATGTCAACTGGAAATTATGGTTGCCTTTGGGCA